AATAGTGTGTTTAAAAGTTCTATAAAATAAGTGGGTAATATAAAAAATAAACTTTGCTAATGATTAGTAATCACTAATAGATACTTAGCAGAGTTTGTGAAGTTTTCCTACCTATTCTATAGAATATCTATGTGTTTTAAACAGCTTTTGCTACAGTACACAAAAAATTAATAATCATTTTTTTTATTATCCATTTCACTCCTTTTTGTTGCAGTACAAATTTTTGATTCTTGTTTTATTAAGTTGACAGCTAATAATTGTAATATTCAAAATTATTTGACACAAATTCCTGAATTAAATAATACTTTGAATGCTTTATTATATGAATGGGGTCTTTATTGTAATATAGATTTGACATTAGTTGAATTTAGTAATCTAGGTGAATTTTGAAAAAAAATGTCTTCTTCTCTTCCGATTTTAAGCAATATTGCCTTGGTTTATATTTGGTTACCCTTTCTTCTTGTGCAGTTGAGAGAAGTTTTTACAATAATCTCTTAGAAGATGATAAACAAAGTTTAAGCGAAAATTCATTAGAAATGTAAAATATGTAGTACTTCAATCAACGCAAATAATAAATTCTAATAGAAAAAATTTTTTGCTATTAAAAAATTTTTATCCAAATTTTTCCAAATATTTGCTGATATCGAAATAAAGATCCACGATAAAATTTTCCGTGGCCCTGATCGGGAATTATACCTTCGTGTCTGCTAAATTTTGCTGCTAATTTATTCCCCTTTAGGTAATCCAAGTAATTACGTACGTACGTATGTATCATATGGCTTTTACCAAAAACAGATTTACTTAAAACTAATAAAGATTGTACGTGTACGTATATACAAAATTATAACGACTGTACTGTACATACTAAAATTATAACGATAACAAAAAATCTGTCAATAATTTATAAAGAAAGATGGAAATTAAAAACTTTGAGAAACTTTCAAACAATTATACCGAACTTCTCGAAAAAGGATGTGATTATTAAAGTGGAATCATCTACAATGATAAGGGAATTTAAAGCACATTCACTTATTTTAAAATGCAGGTCTTCATATTTTCAGAACGAACTCCAAAATGTTATTAAAGATGATAATAATATTATGAAAATTGATTTAAAATCAAAAGTTTCTATTCAACAATTTGAAATAATTTTAAAGTAAGTTAGTTAGTTATATACTATCATTTTATTTATTTATATTTTATTTAGATTAAATTTATAAAAATTTTTAACGTGATTTTAATGATAAGATATATTTATGGAGGTTTTATTTCTTTGGAAGATTTCGATGTCCAATTTATTTTTGATCTTATTTTAGTCGCCGATGAATTTCTTCTTGAAGAATTAGTTAGATCTCTTGAATCTTTTTTAATTGAATATAAACCTTATTGGTTACGCACTCATTTTGCATACATTTATAAGACTTACTTTCAAAATAGTAAATTAAAAGAAATAAAAAAATGGTGCAACAAACATTTTGGCAAAACAACCAAATGTTATTTTTGAATCTGGAGAGATTATTTCTTTTAATGAAGATGCGTTGGTTTCACTTATTAAGCGTGACGATTTGCAAGTAGAAGAGATAAAGGTTTGGAATTATATCATTAAATGGGGAATTGCTCAAAATCCAAATCTACCTTCTAACCTTGATGACTGGTCTGATGAGAATTTTACGACTTTAAAGATTACTTTAAAAAGTTGCAGATTATGTATTTCCATATTCACAAATTCTTGAAAAAAATCTTTGGAAAGATCTGAATAAAAGTCATCTATCACCTGATCATAAAGTTACTTCAACGATTCTACCACCTCGTATAATTTTAAAGGTAAAATCGACAGAACATTTTTCAACGGTTATTAATGAGGAACAAGCAGCTAAAATTGCATCATGGATTGATGGAAAAACCACAATATCTAATGCAAAAACCACAACATATAATGCAAAAAACAATCCATACGAATTTAAATTACTTCTTCGTGGAAGTAGGGATGGATTTACTAAAGAATCATTTTGGAATTTATGCGATAAGAAGATAAATACTGTTACGGTCATAAATATTAAAGGGGATGATAATATTGATAGAATTGTTGGTGGATTCAGTCCAGCAGCATTCGATCGCAGCAAACCCGGTTTTATTACGTGTCAAGATAGCTTTATTTTTTCATAAAAAATGGTATAGCTCAATATTCTATTTTAAGTCGTGTTATCCGACCAGAAAGTGCCATTTTTACCTACGATAGTTATTCTAACAAAAGTAGTAGTGTAAATTTTGGAAACGGATCTCTTTCTATGTTCGAAAATGGTGATGGCCAAAATAGGGGATGCAGGATTTGTTATATTCGTGACAATGATATTAGTTTTCAAAGATATCAAACTTATGAAAGACCAATTGGTATGGGGTCACAAGGTTCTGACATATATTATTTTGTAAACGAATATGAAGTATTTCAAATTCATGAGAAGCCTAAGTCAAAATCCAAAACCAAGTACTAAATAGTTGCGTTATGTGTCTGAAATTGTGTTAGATTGCGGAGTCTGCAAGCCGCAAGCAACGGAATTTTAAAGCTTTCTCAACTATAATCTGAATTGCATATGCGAATTCTATATATAAATTTGCAAAAATTTGCTTATGTATTTTGGTTAAATATTTATGTGCAAAACTAAATGTTTATAATCCACAAGTAGTTTTTTTAGTTGCAAGTTCGTAACCAATTTAAAAATCAAATTTCAGACACAGCTGTTGAGAACTAGTGCTATCATCAGCTTGGAGAGATTCTGAATAGATTATGTTATATGATTTTATTATTATTTCTTTTATTGTTATTTATATTTATTTTGCGCTTATAGTAAGTTTATCGCGTGCGTTATTTGTAGAGTAAAGATTACCCAGAGTAAATTTTTATACTGACACAATCTTTATTAAATGTGACAACTTGAGTTGTATTTCAGTAGAACATTATAAATATGCAGTACAGTGAAACCTCTCTAAGTGCACGCACTCGGGACAATGTGCGCTTAGAGAACAAAAGAAAAAGTGCATTTATAGAGGTCATGTATATATTTTGGCCAGAATCTGAGTGTGCATTTCTGCATTTAAAGAGGGCGTGCACTTATCGAGGGTGAGATTTCACTGTGATTAATTGTTTAATAAATTACAAACTATATATTTAAATATAGTATATAGGTTATTTTATAAATATATATATATATATAAGTATATAGTTATTATAGTTATTATAGTTATTATAGTTATTATAGTTATTATAGTTATTATCTTTATATTACAGTATTATTAATTGTAAAATAAAAAGTGTTTTTTGATTTAATTATTGGTTCAATTCGAAATATATTCAAATGCAACGTAGAATTGTTGTTAATATAATATAGTTACAGTACTATTACAGTGTTAACTGAATATATAACAAAGACATGGTTATATAATGAAACAGAAAATAACATTTTCTTAATTAATGCAATACAAAAAGTTATAATAAAAAGATACATAGTAAAACTGCAAGGGCAAGTCACAGGTTTCGTTTTATGCCTATTTGATTGCATACGGTTAATTTTGTTTATATATAAATTTTCATGCAATATACAAAAAGCCTTAACGATTGTTTCAATTGTTTGTACTGTACCAGTAATTTTATAAAGCTTATTTTTACAAAACTAATCAGTGACATTTTGCCCCCTATATCGGATTGAAATATTTTAAAATTAAACAAAATTGTCAAAATTGTCAGAAATTCCTGCATTATTGCAATTAATACTGCCGTAAATTTTTGAAATAACGGACATCAGCGCGTTATTTTGATCACCTGCGCGTTACTTTGAATACGCCCATGTGCGTTAGTTCGAGATATTCGCCGATATGTTACATGATGTGCGCGTTATTTCTGGACATGCATTCATAGGACTTTCGTATGATTGACAGATAAATATACATTATTTATACAGTTTAAAGTAAGAGAAAAGAAAGTTTTATTGTTTTATTAGAGTTACAGTATACAGTAGGATCCTACTAACAAAAATAATCAAAACCTATTTATTGTTTAGAGAAATTAACATGATAGTAACCTATTTTTGAGAAATTACGTGTATAAGTAAAGTATAATTAAATAGAATTTATCTGGCAGCGAATTTAATATTCGTCATTCCAGGGCTTTGAGGCTTACATATTAAATTTCCTTACATATTAAATTTCACAGCCAGATAACAAATTTATTTTACAAACAATTCCGTTATTGGTTTCTTCACATCCAATAACCCTATATTATTTACCAATCATACGGAAGTTCTATTATTTTTAAGCCGTTATTTTTTGAAATAACGGCCATGCCCGCTATTTCGAAACAGTATTATACTTTTTTGTTTGAAAATATTGTATTTTAGTTATTTAAATATAAACAAAATAAATTGTAACTGGAATACTACCGTGTTTACCCCCAACATATACTGTATATACCCGGGTATTTCCCTAGTTCGTTTTAGTACCCGGGTACACATGTGGGGGGGATATATTGTATGGATATGAATATGTTTTATTATGCTTTCCCGGGTACAGAAGCATACTTAGGTACCAGGGTATAGACTGTCAAAATCGTTACAGGTTACATTGCACGGGAGGTCTACATATAGTCATTATAACAATTTATATTATCATAGTAACAATTGTAACACAAGAAGAGTTTTAGCTGACATTAATTTTAGTGAGTGACAAGTAATTATTAAACACTCATTTAATTTACTGTAAAAAAAATAATAATTTTTATAAAGAAAAGAAAGATCAATTTCTTTTTTTTTCTGATGAAAATAATGAATAAAGTGGTTTAGTTTAGATTTGACGAAATATGTTTCAGATTCAGGTTGTAAAAAAAAAAATAATAATAATAATTTATATCTCTTGTTATCACAAATTGATCTCAAAAATTTATGATTAATATAATGTAATTTATTATTAATTTTAATATTAATTTTAATAATTGAAAATTACAATAATCCTCAAGTCAATGCTACAGTTCTAAATGATTCAATAATATAGCTGGCATCATGAGGTCCAAAATCTTCGGAGGAAACGCCCTCATTTGTCGACCCAAGATATTTCAAACATCCAGGTAAATATCGAAGTGAGACAATCAAGTTGTATTGTGGTGGTTGCTCAGTTAATTCGATTTTTCCCATATGAACTAATGCTATAAGACGAGAATAAGAAAATTTAAATCTTTGAAAAAGAATAAAATGTTTTTATTTATTTATTTTTTCAATAAATACCTTTGACAATGTCGGAATCATCAGTAAAAATCCAAGTCCCCCAAACTTTAGTGTCTCGTCGAATAATACTGGCAGTGGTGAGCCATTTTGATTGAATTAATACTTCTGCTATTTCACCAGGCTTTGATTTTGCGACCTTCGGATAAGTATAGTAGTTGTCTACCACCTCAAAATGAAAAAAATAATACTAAAGTTAGTAAGAGAAAAAAAAAATGCTTAATAGAAAAAAATATTTATTTATTTATTTACTTTCGTCTTAACGATTAACTCAAATATTGGGGCTTTCTGAGATGCAAGGATTAAAGCCAACTCATCTTCGAAAGATATTACAATACGATCATTTTCTTCGTCCAGAAAGTGAAGCTCTACACGTTTGTCATAACTTATGTCGAAGCGCCCGCGTAACTAATTAATGATATATATTATAATAAAATTCGTGAAAAACTATAATTCCAAAAATTTTTATTTTTTTATTTACCTTTTGTTCAAGTTCTTCTAAACTAATATTCTTTCTGATATCGATTTTACGAGCAATCTGTTTACCATCACGCTTATACCTAATTTTGATAATCATATTTCACCGTTAACGTTAATTCTGATTACTCAAATTTTTTTTTTTTTTTAAAGCTAAATAAAACGACGTGAATGAAAAGTTTTTTGGCAATAAGATAAAATTTGAGTTTACAAAACCACTTCAATTTAACGCTAATGTTCAATTTATATAAGTTATATAGGTTATATAGGTAGCATGGTTAACGTCTATCAAACTTATGTAAAAAAAATCCATTTCATATTGATTCACATTAGTATGAGATAGTATGATACTACACTCTAAATCACCTATATGGAAAGTAAATTTAATTAGATGAACAACCTCAAAAAGGTAATCTTTTTTGTCTTTTGGAGAAATCAGGTGTTATTTCTTTTTTTAACTAGACTTACATTGTTAGAATATTCGGTTTCGATATTCTTAATTCTTTATATAGTATAACGATAAACGTAGACCGAATTTTAAAGTGTATACATGCATATGCATTTATGGAGGCTCGACCGTACGTAGTAACAGTTAATGCAACTTTGTATTTTTCCTTTTTTACGTATTATACGTATAAACATGCAATATAACGTACGTACGTACGTATTTCTTATTTTTTTTAAAAAAATCGAATTTCTCTTTTATTCTTTTATTGAATTAATTGCATAAAATCTATGTTGTCTTATAAAGCCCCCATATGTGTTTATCACATACACTCGATAATAGAGTCGGTCAATCTCGGTCATAATTATACCCAATAATAGCATTAATTTATTACTATAAAGAATTTGGTTACTTTATTAGGAATTGTATTACCACTTAACATTTTGAGAAAATAAAATTATCGCTGCTCATTATTAGAATATTAGCTATTCTATTATTTATTATATATTATTATTATTAATTAACAAAAGTTGTTAATGGTTCGAGATATTTTTAATTGTTCATCCCATTCTTTCAAAAATTTTCCTTATTCCAATAGTAAAATTTTAACAAGTAGAAATTGTGTTTTTTTTTCGTATATTGATATTTGTCTGCTCTATGCTTTTCTCTTATTGAAAACTTCTTCAAAAATTATGATTTTTGAGACAATTAAAATGATCATTCATGATGTAAAGGATCACTGATAATTTACTTTTTCACATGTTTAATTTACTGATGTACGTACGTATATTAAAATGAAAGATTGAGTTTTATTTTTTATTTGGTTAAAACTACACATCATGTGATTTTATAATTAAAATAATTGTTTTTTTTTTGTTTACTAACGCTAATAACTTGCTCAATTTCAAAGTTTATACGTACGTAAAACGAAATTAAACTGTATAGAAAACATTGATATATATATCGATATATTTAAATTTTAAATAAATCCAAAATTTTTTACATTAATTGACCCGCCTAAAAAATCTTTATTTGGGTGGAACAGCTGTTTTCATAAATTCTGGATCAACTGAAATAAAATGAATCGATAAATTACCGAGCCGTAATCAATAAAGTAACTGACTTTGGCCGAATTCAGAAACTTATCGATTCGACCTTCGGTAATTTTTTCAGTTGTTCCAGAATTATGAAAATCGCCACACGTATACACGGGTGCCTATCTTAATAAAAAAAGTAATTACAATATTTAGGCTGCCGAAATTGGTCTTATATAGTGCCGAAATTATTGTCGAAATTTTTTGAACTCTTTTCATCAAAATGCATCATATAATATAGTTATTTCGAAGGGTTTCATATAAAAAATTTAGCAATGCCGAAATGTTTGCCGAAAATCCGATTTTTCAAAATTAATTTAGGCAGTCACCCGATAGGTCACCCAGGTTACAGTAATTAAAAAAAAATCAAACCCGGGTGGTTGATATCCCGAAAATAATACGTTTTCGATTACAGCTATAATTTCTGGAACACCTGATAAAAATTAGCCATGATTGATATATAAAAGCTATTTTGCGCATATAGTTTTTTATATCATTACAATGTCAACACACTCAACATTATTAAATTTTCTCTTGAATACTTGCTCAATAAGTTTGGTGTAAATACAGTCGCATTCACACCATTGGGACTTATAAAAAGGGTTTTTATATAGAAAATGTGGAGTAATTTTTATATGTTTAATAGTAGTGCTTATGAAGATGATGTGCTTATATAGATAGTAGTTTGTACGAAATTTATGGAATGAGTGCCGCCAAGAGAAAACTCGTAAACATTATTAGATAAGATTTGCGGAAGGCATCGAATATAAATTGGACTTTTATACTGTATATTAAACATAAGTGCATTAAAAATGTTAGGTATGATTAGTGGTGGTTTAAGCGCAATGCCGTAATTCATTAAATAATTTTTCGAGAATATTTTGATTCGAATTGAATGATTTGGGTAACAGGCTGATCCTTCACCCGATGTGCAACATATAAAAAAAATTAATTTATAATTCCGCCAGTATTATAATAAAAATGGTGTGGGATTAACCATAATAACATGTACTAGCGGAATGACCTGGTATTGTAAATTAATTTTTTTATATGTTGCACACCGGCGAAGGATCACATCGAGACGACTCGAATGATATGATATCAAATTCATCCAACTTGGATTATTGGATCACGATATAATTGAATTTTTGTAAAAAAAAAAATTACGCACCACTAGGTATGATTAAAAATTTAAAAATGCAACTCAAGGTTTCGAAAAGTCTGGTTTATTAATATTTGTCGGAAAAAGCGGTTTTCAATGGGGTTTCAAGTATGTTATTTACATAATTGCTTACCGATAAAGGTTTATCAAAAAAAGCCAATTTTATCACCGGCTGCGCCTATTTAATTTTCTGACTCGGGATTCTAAAAAAGAAAAAGAATTTTTTAAACTCCCACTTATTTTGAAAAAAATACATCCATATCGTATTTAAATTATTATATCAACTTATTGAATCTATTATGTCGAAAGCACAAACTTAATCGAGCGGAATATGGATATGATGGCTGATTTATTTTCGGAAACTAATATATTGCAAAACTATGAGTCAACAACTCACAGGTCACCCGTGGATCAACTCATGGGTTGATCCACTCGTTTTCACCTGGGACACCCACTCACCCGGGTCAATTATTGACAACTATCATTGTAATGTATCCTCAGTCACGATTTTGGTCAATATAATTAATTAAGTTCACATAATTTATCATAATAAATATATACCTTTTAAATTATAGTGAGAATTTACAGTTATCGTTATCTTATCTAATATCTCCATCCCATTTAGGTATGCACAATTTGCGTAATAAAGATCATGATAATCTGTTAAAATCACAACTATGCAACGCAATAATTTTTTCAGTCATTTATATAGAGTGGATTCTGTGAGATATTTAAAATACAGTTAAATGATGCCTAAACTTATCAATTTCAAAATTTTTAATCAACAAATTGAAACCTATCTGCTATGAATGATAATGCGTAAGCTTTTATGTATTTGTTTGCATTATAGATTGTACCCATTGGGAAAACCTATTTATCCATTTCTAATTTCTTCATTTTCTGATACATTTATCCGATGTTACTTGAGGGCTTTAGTCTCATGAAGTCTGATGGTTGAAGCTAATAAAAAAATCGATTTCAGATTTATGTGAATATAAAACTAAAATGAGCTTGTTTTTGAACAGTAGGTTCTTTTATAGGGCTGATGATTTTGTAGGAAAAATTCATTAACAATCATTTAGTATATCCGGAATTTTTTATATAAAATGTTTGCTAAAAGAAAGTTTCCCGTAATTACATTATTATCATTTGCTACAATCCTAATTACCTGTGATATTAAGATATTTTTTGATCTTAATACAGTATTCACCTTGTCAAATTCAATAAAATAATAAAGTTTATAAATTTGACAGACAAATATAAAAAAAATTGCTACCAAAAAGGGTTGAAAATATTAATTCCCTATCAAAATATTAAAAATTAAACCAAGTTTTAAAAAATCAATAGGCACGAACTCAAGTCTAAAACAACCCAGATGTATATTAATTAAACAGTTTACTACATTATATTGAATACTTCCAAGTTTGAAAAAGTTCGACCTAACGATCAAAATTAATATCATTACAAATTATATACAAATTTATTTCTACACATGTCTTCTCAATTGTCTGAATATCGAAACACTACTACTTTAATAATCTTGAACCGTTGGCCGAAGTAATCGAATGTATCAACAAACTTTGCACTTTTCATTACCCTCAATTCATCTAGCCTTTATCGACACTCATAAAACTTATTTTCTATAAATGCAATCACATTCTTTATAATTCACCTAAAAGTAAATTCAATATCTGCTTGCACAAATAAAATATCGATTTCATTCAAATAACAGTTCATGTAGGGTTGTTAACGGGTTGGATTGGGGTGGGTTGGATTGGGTTTAACTATTCCTCAACCTCTCCAACTTGCTTAAAGTTGCTCCAGTTCACTCTAGCATACCTTCAACTCACTCCAACTTGCTCTGGAGTATACTACCCCATTAACAACCCTAAGTTCATGCATATGATTGATTACTCTGCTAAACAAACATAGCATATCAATCCAAAGTAGTGAATAATAGTAGTTAATAATAGTAATGATAAAGCATATATTCATTCGCTAAAATGACTTAAAATGTTAATAATAGTAATGAGAAAGCATATATTCATTCGCTAAAATGACTTAAAATATTAATAATAGTAATGATAAAGCATATATTCATTCGCTAAAATGACTTAAAATACAAATTTACGAAACAATATAAAGATCAATGTCTACGTCTTTATTAAAAATGAGGGTTAGCAAAGTTATAATTAAAACTAGTAAAACATATAGACAATGTACAAATTTAATGTTAAAAATATTTATTCCTATTTAATATCAATTGGACCACTTTTAGTTTGAGATATTATAGGTGTTTCAAATTCATAGAATGGATTTGATCCCAAGTAATCTTGTGTACTGTCATAATCTAAAAGGTTAAGCTAAATTTAATATAATATGAATTTTTATAAATAAAAATTAGGTTAATTTTAATAACACTTACCTAAGGTAGTAAAAAGTCTTTCAAAGTGGGGCATAAATTCAGAAGTGGGTAAATAAAGTTCAAAATCCAATGCGGCAAACACCGCAAACTCTTGTTCAGTGATTTCTTTTGTTGTCACGTCCAAATGTTTATGCAAAGACTATTATTCAGTAAAAGAGAAATAATTAATATTAATGACAGCTAAATATTATATATATATATATATATATATTACCTCTAACAAAGGTGAATAAGACATTCCAATTGGATCATTTACTTTACTGGCAAGTACTAAACAAATTGCTACAATAAAAATAACATCATTAACTCTACTTATAGAGTGAGTAATGCATATTAAAGGACAACTTTAAATGTTCATAACATACCACCGATCAGTCTCCGGTTAAATTTATTTACCATTTTCTATGAAAGATATAATTAATAGGCAATTTATAATAATCTTAAATTAAATATTCACTCAGACTTACCTTCAATATTAATTTTTCAAAATATGCATAAGCTTTCGCAACTGTCGAAATCTCTAAATCCAAATCCTATAATTAACAAATAATTGAATTAGCTTATATGCTTATATATAACGGAAATATTGCAATTACAAACCTCGTGCCGAGCAGCAGCTAATAACTTCGCTTTTACTTTGCGAATTTGACTTAATGTTAAGCTTTGATCAATATTCGGATGAGTTTGACGAAAGAGAGCATTTGATTCGCGTTTCAAATCAGATGGTCGAGCACTATGACTCATTAAACCCTTAAAAATCAAAATTGAATGGTACATATTATATTTTATTCAAATAATCTCTTTAAATGAAATGAACATGTACGCACTATAATCCCAGACAAACTCAAAACCGAACGATGTTTACTTATTTTAAGATCCTGCGTATCGTTGGGAGTTTGTTTTTCTGTTTTTAGCGCAGGATTATCTAAATATGTTGGATCGTAATCAAAAACTTCTAGTATAGGTCTATATTATTGCACGATCGATAAGTAAATGCCATCTCCTTTTTTTCAAAAACTAATAAGGCTGATCCACAGCCTCCATTTTACAAACAGAGGGAGGTTGTTTCAGAGGAGGGTAAGAAATAGATTATTACTTACTCTAATGCGTTACTAGGAGTTAGTAAGTGTGCAAAAGACTCCGCCTAGGATGAGTAGTGCAAGAATATATTGGTTAGTAAAATACCAAATTAACTGCGTATTTTTGGAGCGTCTCATGACGCACCTCATTCGCATTAAAATCTGTAAAAACTGGTAGTATTCCGAAAATACATTAATAAGCTATATTCTTGTTTATACCTTTGGTCTTTTGCTGGTTTCCAAATTAGTACTTGGTTTCCTAATTTAACATAAAAACAAATAAAATTTCAGACTATTTAACATAATTCTCTTACACATTCATAATAGACATTTCTTACGCACGAATTTTCATGTAAATTTCTTTGCTTTGACTTCTTATCATTATAACCTAGCATTGCAAGAATACCTAAAGGCGCCTTTTGTTCAATAATTATAAAATTAGTGTTTAGTTATCAGTTATTAAATATTGTATTAATATATTAGTAATATCAAAACTTACTGAAGGAGCTGAAAACAAACTGCTAGAATTCTTACGGCCACCGATGGTTAAATGATTATTTGGCTTTGTAGATGAACGACGACGGTAAAGCTTACGGCGAGATGAAATTAAGTCGCCGGGAGAAGTAGGTGAAGTTATAGAATTGGCAGAAGATGAGCTCGATTCTGATTTTAATGTGGAAGCTATTTCCATTGTTATCAATATTAAATAAAGACAACTCAATTGATCACATAATATTATATTTTGATATTCAAATAAATTTTTTTTTTTTTTTCACATAATAGAATTGGCATAATCAACAACTATTATTTAAAAAAATTATGAATAGCCCTACTATCTAAGTTATAACTACCAACCTGAACTTCTACGTCGTCTAAAATTATAACTATCATGTGGTGAAGCATCAAGAAGTAAATATTGATTCTCTTGATTTTCTAAATTTGTTTCAGTAATTGAGCCTTCTATAGCCTCTGATACTACTTGTTTTTCCTTGGTTGGAAGAGTTAAGCTTTCACTTGAAGAGTGAGATTGCTTAGAGTTAAGGCTTATATTTGTCAAGAAGCTCGTCGCAGTCTCTTCGCGCCGACTATTACCTCTTCTACTATTTTTATTTTGTCGGTTTAAATTTTCTATATACTCCACAGTTTCTATGGAGGGAGTTTTCTGGTCAAATAAGTCATCATTAGGCGTCTTTGGGCTTGAAGAGAAAATATAATTTCCTGCTGCCTTGTGAGGAAGCATATCGAAAGATATAGCAGTTTTTGTATTAATTTGTAAACTTGGTCTACCATTTCCGTTGATAACCTCATGATCAGTGACAGTTACAAGTGGAGTCTTCTCAAAACTATCAGGGTTTAAAAGACTGTCTGATGACTGAAAAGGGCTTGGAACGGAATGGCTGGGAACAGTCGACGACTGTACAGTGCTAGGAGGAAAAGTTGACTCAGTTCCAAGGCTAATGTTAGAAAGAAATGCAAATGCAGCTTGTCTCGAAGAATCTCGTCTACGGGGGATTCGACGAGGTGAGGTCCTGGTCATTTGTGAATTCAAAATAATAAGCGCTTTCGCTCGGGAAAACTTTCAGCAGTCTGGTGGGATATTTGTGTCTTTCTGTTTACGTTGCACAACCACAAAAATAGGTGGTCATGCCGCGTCACGTGGTACATGCGCCCGGCGTAACCCAGTTAATTTCTGGTTAATTTCATGTCTGATTGTCTGCCTATCCCACCCTGTAATTTCGATTACGTAAGTACGAAGATTCAGTTCAATAAACAAAAATTTTCCGTGAATAAATATACTACAGTAGTTAACACTGTCAAATTTGATCAAAATAATTGGCTTATAATTTAAAAGAGCTGGTCTATTTTCACGAAATGATTTAAACACCGTGTAAACCAATTATATGCGGAGAAACTTATACTGTATAGCTGGAAGTTCTTTCTGTTGCACCAATTTGGCATTGTTATAAATAAAAGATTGGAACAAAAATGACAAAAACAAGCCTTAAATAAAAGCACTAGACGCCTGGAACATTCAATGTTTGAGATTTTTTGTCTTAATGCAAGTTTCGGTTATTTTTACACTTTTACAGTATTAGAAAAGAGTTCGCTTTTTATTTGCAGTAAAACTAAAAAACTGTTTATTAACTTCTATTAAAGTTTTACTTAATAAAAATTAGAAGTGGAAACATGAATTGTAGTTATTATGTTTCAATCTACGTATAATTTTGTTCCCCACTTACAGATATTTTCACATATATGTCGGATCATGTAATGCGTATTAGGTAATGATGTAACTTAATATTATCTGTGCTAAAAATTATATGTAAAAACTATTGTAAATATCGATATATACGTACTGTACGTACGATAAATAATCTTTAGCATACGTACGTATCAGATATTATACGTATATATATATATATATATATATTATATATATATATATATTATATATATATATATTAATTAATAATACCTGTGCGTACATGCGGAACGGACCGGCCCGTGGGCGCGATCGGATTTTTTTTGGAAATTAATTTGGCTACCTTCTCATAAACTACCCAGCGTACCAGGCAATAGCAACGATGATAAATGACCAAAATGAAATGACCAGTTATTGGATCATTTCAAAAGCTAAACGACCCGGTAAGATTATTGGATATATTTAATGTTAATTGTAAAAGATATCTGATATGATGGTAATTCAATATATGCTGTAATATATATCTGATATATCGGTATCAATAAATTAACAGTTAATACTGTATTTAAAAACTTGTGTATCGTACTGTTTACCTCTCACTTAATCAGGTCGCAGGTCATATAAAAAATCCTCTTTCCATATTAGGGTCACATGAGTATACGCGTTCTGCGTCATGGCCTTATCGATTATTTAATCAACCCGAGCTATTCTTTAATTTTCACCAATTGAAGAATATTTTATTATATCATAAAAAGTTTGTTAAGTTTGTGAATCTCTTGAATGTGTGCCAGGTTATTGGTGTAGTAATCAGTCGCAGTACCTCTGTTTACCTATCATACGTTCATAGAATCTCTTTTAGAACAAAATTTCGCTTCGCTAACCGTTCTGTACTTTGTAAGTTTTCTTTTTTAGATTTTATATATGTTGTAAGTGGATTTGGAATTTTGTGAATTAGGAACCACTTAAGATGGATTTCGAATCCAGAAACAACTTAAGTCGATTCCAAATCTTAAAAGATCATTTAATAGTCGAATATAATATTAGTACACAGTGACTCTTAATATAACTTCTGTTTGAGAAATTGAATAGAAATTGACTAAAATCTACAATATTGAGAGTTTACTAGTAAATTCCTTATATCACCAAATTTTATTATGGTGATCTGGACTTTGATCCATTGTACGTATCTAGATTTACTTAGTCTCTGTTATATGAGTGCTGCCAAGAAAAAACTTGTCATCGGGCTTTCAATTATATTTTGTACCGGACACAATCTATTAAATTTATTAGAGAATATTAGTGTCGCCAAGGGAAAAACCTACAAGCTGTACTTTTTGAATATTAATTTTTAATAAAAAAATATCTTAAAATTAACAATTTAGAACCTACTGTTCTTAATATTTTTTTAATCGTCTCATTAAGATGATTCAAATGATATTAAATTATAGGTATTAAATTGACTGATTTTAAAGACAAGTTTTTAATGGAGTCACCTGCTAGATATTGTAAGACCTTTATTTTGAACTTATTATTGTGACTTTATTAATACAAATTTGGGAGCTCTTAAAATTCTTTTTAGATACGGGAGTTGAATTGAATTCAAATATCCAATTTATCATTGTTGTCAAAAATGAAATGAGTCAGAATTAATACGTGCTATGCTCTTTTAATCGTGCAATCTCTGTTTCTACTATAACCGGCACAAATACAAAACTAATTCTTGTAAATGTAGACATTTTAATTTGGTGTAGAAGCAGGTGTCATTCGCATAGTATTAAATGCAAATAAAGAATATACTAGAAAAGATTATTCAACTTTTTAATAGTCTGTAAGCTTTCTTTAGTCTTGGTAAACAAAAAAATAACCTTATTTCTGTATTAACTAGTATTAACACAGGTCGAATGAAGACAAATCGGGCATCATGTAACCCCGATATGAAACTGATATTTGGCGCAAATAGGAGACTTTAAGATATAAATCGGGTTCATATAAGCGTTCAATACACATCAGATATTATTGAACGCCTATATGAACCCGATTTATATCTTAAAGTCTCCTATTTGCGCCAAATATCAGTTTCATATCGGGGTTACATGATGCCCGGTTTGTCTTCATTCGACCTGTGTAATTAAATACTACTGTATAATTAAAAAAATTGTTATTTTTTTTTTTGACAATCATGTCACAATTCTAATGCTTTATTGATGATCTAATAATATTCTGAGAACAAAATTTTTACATTATAGTATTAACTATCTACTAGGTATCAGGAGCTGATAGCAGCGAGTAGTCATTTCCATATATTTTCGTGCAAACTAAATACTGTAGTACAAATTATGGGGTGCTTTATTAATAATTGCTTTGAATAGTTGGATTTAAGGCTTGCAATTAAAATGCCAATTATGTAATTACTTAATCTTGTTATTTTTTATGTCAAAATCAAACTTTTGTAAATTACAAATTGATGCAAAAGGGCTTTTCTTACTAACATCATATATTCACCAAGCTTTCAGGTACACCACCATTTAATATAGATCCATTGCTCAATCATAAATTGTTCGCAGATTGGATACATATTAGGATCAAAAAATAATGGATCTTTTGAAGCTGTGGGTAGATCTAAATCCAAACCTTGTAAAAATTTACAATAATTACCAAAAAAAATTCACATTTGCAGTTCAATTTATTTACAAATACTTTTAAACCTCCAAGAAATCTTTTTACCTTCAGACATGTTCAGAACACAAATCTTGCTTTCTTTCCTTATATTGTAATAGAATTACCTCTTTATAAGTCTTTATCGAGCAACATTTATATATTGTTTTAATATGACTATAATAATAATATATAAGTTTGTTATAATATTTTATACATACATAATTTGTGAATATCAGGATAGTGTGCATAGTTGTTAGCTAAACCTACAACTCATTCTAATAAGTATGTTTTATTCTTTTTAATGTCATCAAATTTTATCAATAATTTGTCCCAATTGTGCTTATAAATAACTGAAAACAGATATTCTGAAACAAATTCTTTAACATGTTCTAAATCATCTGTATTTTAACTATAAATTTTACTTAAAAATTCAACATCACTTATATCTTTATAAGATGCTTCTAATCTAAGGCTATACCTTTTTCTTCAAAATAAGAAATTAATTTCTCATGGTTTCAATTAATAGCACATTATCATCACTATATGTAGTGATATTATTGAATTTGATAAAATCTTTAGCTAGCATGTCTGTTATTTGGGTCCAAGAATAAGGTTAAGCAATAAATAATGTAGTATTATCAGGTGAAACTATACTCTGTCCTGTCAAATGTCCTTGATGTTTCATATTGACACTCCCATTATATAAATTCTATAAGAGCTATATACAAGCTATCATAGTATAGATCTATCATATTACTAACCTTATCGTTTTGAGGGTGGTTTTGGTATCCTAGCTTTTTATTTTTTTTAATATGTAAACATATTGGTATGTTATAGTACTATCTATTATGGTTATGTCCATTTGATAATGCTCATAATAGTTTACATCCTGTTCAAAGATATTTGGAGCACAGTATGGGTGCTATTCATTGGGTCAAATTTTTTGTTTTGGCAACCATTAACCAACATCCCACTATAATATGTTAGGGATCCTGTAATTTTTTTAAGCACTTCATCTTTTAAAAAAACATGGAAAACAGAAGCTATTACTATGTCTCCCTCTAAATATTTATATATTTTTTTGCAAAAAACTTGCTTCTCTCCTATTTTGTAAATAACTTTTCGCCTGCTTAAATTTTTACCTTCTAGAAAATGATATGAAAATTCCCAAGAATATGCAAGGTGTCATTTTTTTAAGCACTGTTAGAGGCAAAAGAGCAGAAACTCGAACTACCCAATCACCTCCAAAACAATAACCAACCCATATCATATACTCAAGATTAGAGGCGATATTGATTTGGCAAGGTAAGGCTAAATTGAGCATATTGTGGAGTTCAAAGAAATAACTCAATTACATTTTTTTTATCTAAAACATTTATTCGTTGTTTTTTTATTAGAGGACGAAACAAGCCCATGTAAGGGAACAAAAAAAAAAAAAGAACTTTCTAATCTAAGCCCCAGTACGCCACATTACATCATTTTTGCAACAACCATCGCTTTGTCTCTTTTGGCTAAGCTTTTGGCACTGCTACAAGCCCGAATCGGTTTATGTTACCATAATTCCGATTCATCTTTTGTGGCTTGTGGCTTGTGGCTTTTTAAGATCGATTTTTTCACGATTTGTGGTAGGTTCTTCGGTGCTCTTTTATCATGTTTTTGGGTCTCATGATGTCGAATTCAGCACAGTGAATTTTAGCGGTTTTGCCACTAACAGCACTCTTCTGGAGACATTAATGTAGATTCTTCTAAGACTACTTTACAAATTTCATTTTCTTTAGTTTCTTCTAATTCAGGGAGTTTTAAATTAGTAAAATAGCATTCATTAAACTTTTCGATCAAAGAAAAAACTCAATTCTCCCATATAATCTTTAAATGACAGCATTTTAAATTGTACTTTTGAATATATTTTTTTGAAACTTTGTAACAGTTCTTCTGTCAAAAGAGCTTATTTATCATATTCTGGTTAGAAATAGTAATCTAAATACCCCCCTTAGTGAACGTTCCTCTGGGTATTAATGTATTAGTAAGTTATAACCAGGATAAAAATTATACAATTTACCCTAAGCATATTAATATACCCTCACCTTTAAAGGGAAATTATACTGACATAGCATGTATATAACTTATCTCCGTTATTGGCACCAGTGTTGGCATATGACCTGTTATGACCTCTATGACCTTTATAACCAGTCATAAGTCATAAGGTCATAAAAATGATGATATAACTTATAACCTTAGTCATAATCCTACCCAATAAAAATTACTTTTAGCTATTTATAAAAATTGCGATATATTATCGTATAAATACTATATTGTATATATATAAATAAAAGAACTTTAAATTTTATTTTTTTATATACAAGCTTTAACATATTTTATTTTAAGGATGTTTTTTATTTAATTTATAGTTAAACCAAAGCAGATTATTTATAATTTGCTATTAATATTCAAATTTAAATTTTAAAACAAAATAATATATATTGAAATTTATTTATATAATACTCGTCACTATACTAATTAATACTGTAAATATTTTATTCCCACCTTCCAAGACCAATTCTGCAGCGTTTTCTATTCTAGCAACCAATACAACTAGCATTCTCCACTTCAACAATTAATAAATTCCTGCTACTCTAATTATACTAACAATTTCCTACAAATTTATTTATTTGTTTTTTCAATCCAATTTCATTCAGCTTTTTGATCAAATTTTATTCGTCCTTTTGATTCAATTTCATTTGCCCCTTTAATTCAATTTCATTCATCTTTTTAGTCTAATTCCATAAATATTTCTTGTTGTAACAAAATTTGATAATGAATGCTATATATAGATATACGTTTTTTTTTAGCTTTTTTTTTTTGGTTTTTTGGTTTTTTTTTTGGTTTATTTTTCTTATTTTAGTTTTAAACTATACTTTCTTTGTCTCTCCAAACTTTAAATGTTTATAGTTGTCTTTTTGTCTCAGATTTTAGTGTTCTATTTTAGCTAATCACTGAATCCATGTTTGTGCAAGTATATTTATTTTAATAAAGAAGTAAGTTCTGATTCAAAAAATGATGATGCTTCTAAAGAGGAAATAAAAAGTAGGTCTAGAGGCCATTTTGCTGTTTCATCATCGGCAAGATATTTATTTCGCCCCCAAAACCAAAATTCATATCCCAATCGCTTGCTAGCAAAATTTCATCATCCTGGTTTCCGGATTGGCTTTTTTGTTCTCCAAGCTCAATCTATTCATTAATCGTATTTTCCCACTGTTGCTCTTTTTCTGTAATTAAAACTTCATCTTCAAAATTCTGATTCATCCAATTGCTAGATTTAGTAGTTGCTTCTTTAATATTACCAGACTCAGTATTAGACCCAGGAGCTACTTTCTCAACATTACTAGTCCCAGTAATTGCTTCATCGATATTACTTTCACTTTCATTGTCGCTTACTTGGTAATCCAAGTCAGGGATAGTTAATTCTTCAGAGGATTCATCATCTGATGATATAGGTGCTGCAATATGTAACCGACGAATACAATTATCATATTCTTTTGAATTTTTGATTTTGCGAGTATGAAAAATATCACTTCAAATTTTGCTCATCGCCAAGACCTTATCTGGCTATAATATTAATTAGTATAGATAAAAGTAAATATAAATAATATTTATAATTAATATTTTAGTAACATAAATTTTGAAGAATAAAAATAATTTATTAAATGTCTTTGTCTAGACAAATTTGTTTACGATTGCTAAATAGTATAAATCAAACCTTAAACCGATTCTGACGACTAGTATGTAATAATCCTATAAATAACCACAAATATTCTACAGATGCAGAGTTAACACAGATACCATGAATACGAATTGCTACTTGAGCTAATTCCGGGCCTACTCCTTCAGTTGATTCCAAAAAATCTACTAAATTGCCACCAAAATGCATGAATGACTTAGTATCATATAGATCAATTCCTTGTTTATATTGTATTAATTCAGATAAAATAGAGATAGGTTTAGAATTAAACCATGCATCATAATAATACTTAAGCCATTGCTCGATATGAGTCCAGGATAAATTTGCAATTGTAGTATTGAGTTTGGTAAGTTTATATTAAGAATATAGTGCAAAAGAAAGTAATAATAGTGGCTGCTTCCATTCATTCCAACGTAATTCAATTCGCCTTTTCATTCTTTCTCCAAACTCAATATTTTGATAACATTCAAACATTTTCATCATATATCCAAAACAATGAAGAACTTCATATAATCGGGCAGTATCTCTTTGCAATTTGTTTAAAAAACTGCAAAGAGGATATAAAAGTTCTTGTAAATCAGCTAAAATTATCCAAAATTGAGTATCATTTATAATATCTGCAATATCATCTAGAAGTTTTCGAGTACCATTATGCAGTGTTGATCGATTATCTGCTAGCATAGATGGGATACCATTGGTTCGAGTTACATTATCATGATTTTCATTAAATTTAGCAAAGAGAAACTAATTATTAATTTTATATAATTCGCAATTTTAGCTATATATACTTTGCTTATAAAATTACTTAAAGTAAAAAACGTACCTTAAGAGCAGACTTTGTTTTTAAAATAGAATAAAAACAAAAATAATAAGAATTCCATCTCGTATCTCCAGGTGTTATTAATGCGACAGGTTTTTTATAAATTTGCATTTGTTCGTCTCTGAGATTTCTTATAAAAAAAACTGATTTGCAAAAAAAGCTTACAATTCTTATTGCTTCTTTTGAAATTCTTTGATATTGAATAGATTCTTTAAAAACTTCACCAAATACTAAATTCATCTGATGGGCCATACATGGTAAAAAAACTTTAGAAAGATACTTTTTTCGTAATTGTCGGCTACAAAAAAAAAAAAACAAGAATTAGAATAAAAAAAAAAAAAAACTTTAAAATCAAAATTACCGTGCTGCTGCATATTCGCCAGCAGAATCTGAAACAAATGCTTTAATATTTATTTTATTTTTTTTCTGCTTCAGTGATTAATTGCTCAATATGATTAATTACATTTTTTGTTTGTGATCTTTCTAGGCTA